CACCTACTGGATTCTCCTTTCAGTTCATTGCGGGAAAAAATGTTGTTCCATTGAGTCAGTAAGCTTCTGTCGGCGTGTGTCAAAACGTGCAGCAAAGGTATTTTAAAATAACTCAGCAAACTTTTCAATCTACTGGACCGATTCTAATTCGTTTGCATGTGCTCCAAGCGGAAATAAAGCTTCATGCTCATTAGGGTCAAATACTAACCGCAGAAGTAATCTTTAAATATACGGAAAAAGTGGTGGTGATTAATCACTTTTATCTGAGGTATACACCAGTGACAGCACTAGACCGATTTTCAATAAAACCACTCTTAATTCGTTGGCATGTACCCCTAGCGGAAAAAACGTTCCATGCTCATTAGTGTAAATTTCTAACCGCCGACAAGAGTCGACTTTCTAATAGCACACCGGGCTACTTGCCAGGTGTTATTGCGACCGCGTCAGAAAGCAATTGATCTACCTACGGACAGCATCGGATGAAACATGTCTGTTTCTAATGAAATTTCTTTTTTGAGCTGTGTGACGTTTAATAATTTCTAACTCCATGTTGTGAAGCAATCGATAGCGGATCAGTTGGGTCCCTCGTTGGACCACCACTTGGTAGAACCGACCTATTCGAATAACCTCTAAACCGGTTGGACATCTATCGTCAGTCGTCCTAAATAATTACGAAACCGGAACTATAGCTTGGATTGAAATATTGTATACGTCCTAAAATGGTCCGTGCAATGTTTTTACTAGCTTGTTCCGAATACTCACTCAATCAGGCACCGTCATTTAGCCCAACGGATCCCTCGAGGAAGAAAAAGATGGTTGTTTGAATTTTTTAGATAAGAAAATCAGGAGACGATCAGAGGGAACCTTACAAAGATCCATCTACCGTAAGACTACATGGAGTGGACAATACTTGCAATTTGCCAGTTTCGCTTTTGTGGCTCACAAAAGAGGTCTGGTGAAAACGATGTTCCATCGAGCCAGGAATATATGTTCATCTGACACTGTCCAAAAGGAGGAGGCCTTTCTGCGAAGGACGCTACTGGATAACGGCTATCCAGAGAAATTTATTGGTGTGCACAGCAGATTAAAGACACCGGTTGATCCCGTCTGCAAAGTACCAAAGAAGAGCGTCTTCCTCAGACTCGCCTTTAAAGGCGATCACATAATGAACGACGTGCGTCTAAAGCTCAAGGCGGCACTGTGTCGAACGTTTCCTGCCGCACAGCTTCGACTGATACCGTATACCCAAGGATTTCGTTTAGACAATCGAGAACAGAACCAGTATAACAATTTTACTTCACATGTCGTCTACCAGTTCACCTGCAGTTGCGGTGACACTTACATCGGCAGAACGAATCGGCCCCTGGCACAGCGGATGTCTGAACACATTCCCAATTGGTTGGTACCATCGATGACACAACAAAGTCTCAGAGGTCAAACCGATGAGAGAAATCCAGGTTCATCCAACGCGAAACATCTCATGGCAACTGGACACATCGTTGACCCACAANCAGGCTTCCATGAACCTGATTTCCCAACCCACCCTCTCCCCCGCTTCCCTGACTATTGTCCGTTTTACCACTGTATTTATCCAAACATGCTTGTATAAATACCAGTTTGTTTTACGTTGTAGCGACTGAAGAGATTAAAAGAAATGTTAACATCTCGCAGTATTTGTCTTCTCTCTGTTCTAACGAATTGGATAAAGGGGACCCAATGTTTCAAGGATACTAAACCACTTTTTAACGCCAGACTGGAAGGTCAATGCAGATGAACCCTATCTGGATAGAAAACCTTTTAAACTACAATCACGTAAAAACCCCATGGAAAAAGAGGCAACAAAAATATCACCATTCTGAAATGTGCAGACGTGTATGCATTTGTCATTCTGAACCGAATGGACTACAAAAATGGAGACCATCATGGAAAATGCATGCGAATTCCACAAGTGCATCCAGGAAGACTATTCGAGAAGTTTCGAATGAATCATCTTACAAAATGTGCAGCTGATATTTGAGGGAAGATTAGTAGTTGAATTCTTGACGAAAACAACAATCCTCGCAGAAGATAGTCCAGATCTGCGGCGGGTACTGCACAATTACACAAATTCAATATCGTAGTGTCATTTGGAAAGTTATATGCAGCTCATACTTCACCTGTCCCTAAACTAGTACCAACATTTCTGAATTGCATAAGCCACCGATGTATCAGAACAGCCTTCATTTAAATTGATACCCAAACTGCTTCCTGTAGCATCCTAACGGCATGCGAAAAGATGAATGATGTGACCCGGCTCGATAAACGTTATTCAGTCGAATGGTCGTTAGATACATAGTGGAAAGCGTAGATGCCAGCAGGATGCAATGTTTGGTAAATGGGCGAAATTCGGACGTGAAACAACAGATTTGCGATTGAATTCTGGAATAAAAACCGGATTTAAATGGTCGCATAACCTGAGCCTATCGGCAACAAATCACGTCTACCAATGACTCGTCTACAGCAACAGAATCTAATGTGCTCGGGTAAAACCATTTTCCGAAAATGATTTTCCATAGTTACCCGTGCATCGACCCAGTCGTCGGAATTTACATATGACATCACAAATTTAGCTACTGGATACAGATAATTATCTGCACTTGATTTTGAAGACTCACGGTTTCAGAAACGCAGTGTATTGCGAAAATCAGTAGCAGTGGATGCCAGTGCCGCGTCAAACCGGCCTCCGGTAAATCGGTAAGGGTCTTTGTTAATGTAAGTGAACAATAACCTTTGAACATATACATGTTATTGAACTATGAGGCATTGGGCAATTGAACTCTGGAGTATTTAACCAATTTCAGTCGAAGAGTAGAACCAATTGTGTGAAGGTGGCCAGTGGAAATAAATCAGAAACACTGTGTCCAACAGGCAAAAGGACTACTTTCTCATCCAGCTCCGCGGTTGATGCGAGTGCGGAATCCGGTGCGATTACCACATCAGCGAGCACGGACGAACCAACGGCAGCTCCAACTGAAGCGACATCACAAACCACGAATGGCAAAGAAGAAAGAGATAAAACCCCATCTAAGGAAGAAGAAAAAGTAACTCAACAAGGGGGCGCAGAAGAAGACAAAAAAAAGGTTTCAGAAGAAGCAATGGAGAACGAACCTGAAGCTGATGGCCGCCTAATTAGGCAAGCCAGAGATACTCCAAACAGTGGTGGATCTATGGATGTAACTGTGTATTACATGTTGGGTAAGTGTTAAACAGCGAAACGACCTGGTTCAAATCAAATAATGTAAAATTTACTCAGTTCTTTGATAAAAATAACATAGATGTATACCTTCAATTTTTATGTATTCTATTACTCGAAGCTCTTGTTTACTAACGTTTCACACTGTGATCGATTTCAGACCGTATTTGAAAGGCCAAACCTGCATGCATTCTAGTGTTGGGATTGATCGCACACCTGTTGAATGGAGGTCTATGATAGGTTGCGATTGATATAACGTTCTGCTTCATTTGGCTGTCGTGTATTATTTCAACAGCACATATCTCATGAGTCCAATTTAATTCATTTTGCGTGTTTTCGCACTCCAGACCCAAGTAAACAAACGGGTTTCAGATTGAGCGAATCAAATGAATGCCGTCTTAGCTATCGATTTGAAAGTGATGTATAATGACAACCCTATTTGAAATATCTTCCGCATTACCCCACCAGGCAAACATTGATTTGGTCGATGACACTAGGAAACTGTTAACACAAACCAACTAAAAAAATAGTTTGTATGCCGTGGCTACTCCGTTGTACCTGTCTCGAAATTCAGGCTCTCGCAGTTAACGACCTCGGAGGTAGTATATTCTTCTCTCAACCAAATGTAGATTGTCTGTTAAGTCACTCTAATCTCGTCGCCAGGGTAAATTTAGTTGATAGTGATCTTTTGCGAGTGTCACAGATTCGAGAACTATTTTGACAGCCCGTTCATCCTCCAGCGAGAGATAGACTCCGTCATGTTGGTCTGTAAATTTCATTTCACATATCCCTAAGATATTCGACTGGAGCTCCATCTTAGACGTAAGGAAGTTAACCAAATCCGACCGTCCAGAAGGTTTATGTGTCGGTCTCATTATCTTAAAACTTGGCGAATCCGTTTCCGGAGGCCATGGATATCGCTAGTCCTCAACTTATTTCCGTGAACTAACCCGTCCAGCAGGTTTTCTGTGACCTCGTCTGCACAACCCAACTGGGATTCTAGTATTGACAACGCCCTTATGCACCCGATGTCTTTGGGTAATAACACACACTTCCATAGCTTCTCGCGCTTCTCAAGCACAACAATAGATAAGGTACGGCAACCTTTCTCTGTCGGTTCACAGATGTGCAACAACATCTTCCTTGAAACTGTTCAAAACTCTCCAAAGCTTCCTTGGAGTGCCGTCGAAACTCACCGGACTCAACTCGGGAAGTCGTCTTGCAGTGTGTATGGTTTTGTTAGACGACATAGTAGTGTTGGATTATGACCGGTCTGCCGGCAAAAGGTTGACCTAATCCTTAACAAGTTCTAATCGTTCCACGACTTCATATCCATAGTCGTCATCTCCTCCGAGAGAACGCTCTTCATCGTCCAACATCGCAATCTCCAAATCTAACTGTTTTTGTCACTACTACTACTACAATCATTACAACTCCTACAGGAAATAGCGCTGCCTGCACCCTTATTCCCTTTAGACGTGTCAAACAAAGGGGTACGGGAAGAAATCTGCTTACCCAAATGTTCGTCCAGCGTGTGTGAGTGACTGATCGCGTTTTCGTCCAAGAGAGTTTGGTCAGGACCAGAATGTTCCAGCGTCCGTGAATAACTCCGGGTTGCTGGTAATTATATTCTCTTTGTTCCAGGTAATAAATGCAAACGCGGACAAGGGAAAATAGATTTGAGTACTGGTAAATCCAAATAACTATCCAGGCCAACGTTGAGTGACGCGCAAACTCAGAAGCCAAGTCCAAGTTTTCTAGAGGTTTATTCGACTCCAACAATAGCGAATAAGTATGCGGTACTGTAAATATTAAGCGTCACAATTACATAAACAACACACCTCAAATCCCAGGGGGTATGCCTGAATCAGCGAAACAAACAATGTCAATCGAGAACCAAGATACAAACGAGGGAGTTCACCACTCCGTCAAACCAACAGGCGATAAGTGATATAACGTCAAAACGCACATGGGACAGGGCGACACATGAGTGAGACAGAGGACCAATCCGAATAAGATTAGGCAACTCCATACAATAGTAACAGGGTAGAGTGAGTCAGGCCATATCAAGGTCAGGGACAACGGTGACGAGAAAGAGAGGGAGAACCAAGTGTGATGGGCGAATGAATAGATGGAACGGACGAAAAGTGCATTTCTGATGATCGATAGTACGTAAGAGTCAAGACAATGACACTGGAGGGAGAGGTGACTAGGCCTACTGTTGCTGTGGAACGTGTGGAGCGCGGCAAATACATACAACAGATATATTCAACGGTAAGTAATAGTCTCATTGTGAATAATTGAAGACTAGTTTGTTCGTCGCGCTGTTATTGTTCCCGGTGCATATGGAGGGGGGGGAGGGTTGTTCATACTTTGGATTCGGATGGAATGCTCATGGTAAACGGGAGCAACAATCTGATAGGAGGAAAATTTGTTTTTCACCGGGTAGGTTGATGATGTCTTTGCTATGTGANGGCGACTGAAGAGATGGAACGAACGAAAAGTGCATGTCCGATGATCGATAATACGTACGGGTCAAGACAATGACACTGGAGGGAGAGGTGAATAGACAGACCGTTGATGTGGAACGTGCTCTCGGCGTGTTGTCGGTGCATATGGGGGGCTGTTTATACTTTGGATTAGGATTGGGGGCACTCTGATGGAGAACAATTTTTTTCAGCTGGTAGGTTGATGATGTCTTTGTATGTGATGAAAAGGAACAACGTATTATCGTATGTACTATTCAATTGGTGTCCGTCAACCTCAACGTGAATGAAACCAACAGGTCTTTACGAACCCCCCAGGATAAGTGAAATCCGTGCAGGTAATGCAATCAGGATTCAGTTGTAATTGTGTACCAACATACCTTCGACGGATCAGCACTTGAACCGCATACATTTCCTCACTTGCCACGTTTACTTTATCCCGGCACTTTGAATCCACAACTCATAATTCTTCAAAAACATATCCTTAGTGCTCGATAAAACGCGCACAACAAGAAGAGAAAAGAATACTTACGTTTCGCAAACCCAGGGGTATTAACTCCCAATACCAATACTTATACTTCTTCTCACCAGCGTCAAAATAGCCTGAATAACGTTTTTAATTAGTCTTTACCCCGATCGCTGTTGCTTAATGTTTCCAAATGTCTCGACGTCCCCTTCAGCTGTAAATCTGGCTCCCGCTATCAAACTGCCTTTAAAAATTTACGGGATCTAGTAGTTAAAAGTCACAGCATTCCCAAAACCGACCCTGTTAAATACCTTAGAGTCCTTTCATCCGACAACCTTTCTTGGACCTTACATTTAGAGAACGTTTACAACAAGGTTCGTAAACTCTCTTTTTCTGCTTTTAGGCTTCGGAAGCTTGCTGTTCCCCAAACGTAATTTCCAAATTATTGGTAGCATGCATCCTCCCTCATTGGCTCTGCTGTTCCTCATCATTTTTTCCCGGCCTAAAAGAAAAAGATTTTGTATTATTTTCCAGGTCTGTTTCACTCCTTTCTCGATGTAGAGGCATAGTCAGAGAAGTTCTGGTTGAATTTATTGTGTGCAAACATATCGATGCCTGTGAACGAATAACTTACAGAATCTTGAACAACGAAGATCTCTGCTTTCACAAAGAACTTACTAAATCCGTGTCAAACCCCTGTACCCGCTCTCATTATACGCTGCTTCCCGCACACCATCGCATACAGAAACAGCGTCCTCCCTTTTCTTGCGCGCTTTCTAGTAACTTGGGCACCTATTATTACAGGCCTGGTTGAACATCTCATGAGTTGGTTTATTTATTCCTTTTTTATCCGTCACCATCGTCTTCCTGCGTTCATTTTTCTGTCGAATTTATATACTTTTAAATTAACCTATTCACGCTCGCAAGCAATTAAACTCAGCTCGACTTTATTATCGTGCAAAATCGCTGAAAATTCACCTTACGGGTGCATAAAGCTGAATTGGACTTGACTTGACTTCAATCTGAAGCATCCTAGTACCTGAACTTCTGGATTAATTGAGCGTTTCGTCTTTGTTTTCTAATGAAGAAGTGGATGATGAATTTTTCTTTCAAATGCAGTACTTGTGCATTTAAATGACCGGTTTAAAGCACTCATTCTCCTGGCGGAACGTAAACTGTATCACAGATCAATCAAGAGCTGAGCATCTGTTAGTTTTACTAATGTGAATGATACGAAGCAATAAAAAAAATGTGAACAGTTTGGACGTTCAGTTTGATAAAGTTTGCGAAAATATTCTTATTGATGAACGATCCGGAGAGAAAAAACTGGTATATACCTCTGTAATAGGAATCCAGTCTAACGAAATGGATCAACAACTAAACATGAAATTTGTGGTATGTTCCAGCTGGCAGAGAACAGATACTCTGCTTGTGGATTCCCAAAGTAAATTTACATGTCTTGGCATGAGAATCATATATATTTGATCATAATTGATGGAGCATCCTTTGAAAACTATTCAATATCATAAGGAGAAAATTACGAGAATTTTTATAATGAATAAATCATACTTGGTCGCTGGCCGCTGATGCATCACATCACCATAATGATCAGCATCTAAACTTTGTCAGTTCACTAAGGTACATGCTGCACGATGAGCTCGAATTAATTGGCTCGGATGTCTCCCACACGGAGAT